TCTTGTTACAGCAGCCCAGGACACTGACACAGTCAAGGTGAGCATGATGTGGCCACGGAGTGACTGCCCACGGTCTGGGGAGGGACCGGTTGGTTTGCTGCTTGCTACAGAGGTGCTGAGCCCTTGGCTGCATGCAACCCACCTTGTGCACAGCCACCACCTGGGTCCACCTCGTCGCCCTTTGCACTGGGGGCCACCGTGAGACACTCCCACGTTTGCTGGGCTGAGTGACAAACTGCCTTGCTCAGATCCACCGTTTATTTTGGCATCATAAGGCTGGGGTTCTTTCTTGACAAAGATCGCCCAGCAATCCAAATGCTGAGATAGACAAAGGCTTTCAGGAAGAGAAAAGGCCAGGGTCCCAGGGGCCATGTGGACCTGAGAAAACTCCCTAGAGCTGTTAGCAAAGGCCCTGCCCAAGTGAGAGAGAGATGGGTGGTCCTCCCTGTCCTACCTGTTCATGACACAAGTCCACAGGGAGACTTCCTGGGAGAGGCAGGACTGAAGCACCCTGGGGTCCCTGTCCTACCTGTTCATGACACAAGTCCACAGGGAGGCTTCCTGGGAGAGGCAGGACTGAAGCACGCCAGTACCCGCTCTCCTGGGGGACAGTGGAGCAGGAGCTGCTGCAACCTGCTGCGGGGGCTCATACCCTCGCTGTGCACGGCTGTCCTCGGGCAAGAAATGGGTGACCGTCTCACCTGGCTCAGCCACCTGATGCTCCTGTGACCCAGTTCAGCCCCAGTGGGGCAACTGCACCCATTGGGCCTTGGGTCTCTCCACTGGTGGGGGCTGCCTTCTGACCCCAGTTGCTGCATCACTGACATTGACCTCACCCTGGGCCATACCGCCTTGTTGGGCCCTGAGCAGATGGCTGTCCTGGGTGGACGGTCGGGACCCGGTCCATCAGGGTGGGGAGGGCACAGCCTGGATTGTCAGGTCCCCAGTGTCTGTGAGTCATGGCTGACAGAGGGGCCTGAGGTCATCAGGCTGAGCAGGGAGGGCTGCCTACAAGGTAGGAGGGAGAATCGCCTCAGGACCAGACACCTGAAGCCCTGGACAGCGGCCCAAAGAAGAGGGCGGGGTTTATATGCTCCCTGTCTGTCATGGATTGAATTATGTTCCCCAAAAAATGTATCAACTGGCTGGGCCATGATTCCCGGTATTGTGTGATTTTCCTACATGTTGTAAATCCTGCGTCTATGATGTTAACGAGGGAGAATGGGCAGCAGTTGTGTTAGTGAGGCAGGACTCAGTCTACAGGATTGGATTGTGTCCTGAGGCAATGTCTTGAGATATAAAAGAGAGAAGTGAGCAGAGAGACGGGGGAACTCAAATCACCAAGAAAGCGGGGCCAGGAGCAGAGCGTGTTCTTCGGACCCGAGGTTCCTGCGCAGAGAAGCTCCTAGTCCAGGGGAACACTGATGAGAAGCCAACAGAGAAAGCCTTCCCCTAGAGGTGACGCCCTGAATTTGGACTTTAGTCCACTTTACTGTGAGGAAATAAATTTCTCTTTATTAAAGCCATCCACCCGTGGTATTTCTGTTAGAGCAGCACTGGATGACTAAGACAATGTCTCAGTTCTAACAGGTTTAAGAAGAATTGTATGGCAATGACACCAAATAAACGTCGTATACGTTAATAGTCAGGTTCCACTCATCAAATTTAGCCCCAATTTGGGCCAGTGCCTACATGGTCCCAGAGGAGAGCAGAAGCCTGGCAAGTCCCCTGGTAGGCCTGAGGGGGAGGGGCCCACCTCCACCTGGCTGCTCCTGCTGGAGCCCCTGGGCCCTGGCCGCCCGCCCTGCACAGCTGCTGTCAGAAGAGGCCCCTGCTGAGGGGCTGCAACCTGGTCCCCGTGTGCCGGCTCAGCTCCTCCAGGACCTGCTTCTCCTTCTGGAACATCTGGAAGAGAAACAGATCTGCTGCAACGTCTCCCGAGTCTCCCAAAGGGGACACCCTGCCGTGGCCCACGCCCTCCTCCCCCAGGTACCATCCCCGGGGTGGTCTCGCTCGCTCCCTTCGCCTGGCGTCCCTGGCTTGGTCCCTGTTATGGACTCACTGTTTCCCCCCATGATATGCACTGAATGTATGCCCCTGTACCTGGGGGTGTGATCCTGACTGGGATTAGGGTTTTTCTTTTGTGATGTTAATGAGATCATACACGAGTAGAGTAGGCTCTAAACCTAATCCCTCCTGAGTTATAAAAAGACCAGAGCAGACAGACACACACGGGGAAGAGGAAGGCAGACGGTGGAGCAAATGCACCTACAAGCCCAGGAACGCCAAGGATTGCAGCAGCTGCTACAAGCTGAAATACGCAAGGAAAGACCTCCCTCTAGAGCCACGCCCTGAATTCGGACTTGTGGCCTCCTGAACTGTGAGAAAATAAATTTCTGTATTTTAAAGACACCCACTTGGGGTATTTCTGCTAAGGCAGCACTAGCAGATGAAGGCAACCCCTTGCTGGGGAAGCCTGTCCCAGCTGAGGTTCACAGTCACCTGTGCACAGTGAGCCGATCCATCCGGCAGGAGAGGGGTGTGGGAAGGAGATGTGAGGGGAGGCTGGCCTACCTGGGGTGGGAGAGGGAGCTTCCAGAGGTGGGACCAGAAGGGCAGGTGCAGGGGAGGCCAATCAGTGGAAAGGGCTGGGTGCCTCTTGAGAAAGGAGGTGCTGGCCTAGCCCGGGGCTCAGGAGGTGGGGTGAGATGGGAAACACTGGGAGCACTAGGGTCTCAGAGGGCCCGGCCTTGCTGGAGGCAAATTTCTGAGCCTG